CACAAAGACCACAACAAGGTCTGCACAAAGACCACAACAAGGTCTGCACAAAGACTCCACCAGGGTCTTCACAAAGACTCCCAGGTCTGCACAAAGACCCAATGGTAAAGAGAAGCAGATCCGAGCTCAAAGTTTGTCCCTGACTCACGGACTGAAGACTTGCTCCTATAAAACCTTCAATTGAGGAACTTTGAATGTTGTTAGTCGTTTTAAGCCGATAAGAATTGAAACAGCACCTCTGGTTCTTTATGAACCTGCAGCATTTCACTCAGAACCTGAATATTGGTTTGTTGCTCTATGCAAGAAGCCGTCCATTAAAAAGACTCTATGAACAGAACCACCTGAACGTTTTCAGTGTTTTACACCAGAATGAGAAGCACGAAGCAGAGACGATAGATTTGCGCTTGCTTTATTTTTCCACTTGGAGCTAACAGGCGTCCATGATGCGTCTGATGGAGCTGAACCTGCTCAGGTTGGTCGTGCTCATCTCCCTGAGGTTCCTGTACTCTCCTGGCTTCAGGTACACCATCCTGCCTCTGTAGTTGGGCTGCTCGAACATCAGCCAGTGTCCGTCCGTCACGTTGCACGACTGGCACTCGGACATGCGGAAGCGCTCCATCATGTTGTCGCAGTCGTCCAGCAGCTCGTGCATCTGGCCTCCGAAGTTCTCCCTTTCGTAGATCCTCATCCGGAAGGGCCCTCGGTGCTGCGGAGGATTAAAATAGTAAATCTACGAATAACAGCTGTGGTAATGTAAAGTTCTGATGGACTAAACTGGACGTGGAAGTTGCCTTTAACAACTGGAGCTTAAATAAAACAAATACTGCTGTTATTCGCTGCTTTGTGCATATCCAACTGCCATTAGGTGCAGAGGTTTGTAGACCAGTGGACCCAGACTTTGGAAATGTTCCAGATAAAATTCCCCAGCTCGGTAAACTCATGCAAGCCGTTTAAGCTCTTGCACCTACCATGGGGATGTTTCGGCAGGATCGGATGCAGTCGCTGGTGCTCATCCCCATCAACCGCTGGTTGTCGGGGTACTCGCCCCGTCTCACCAGGATCTGGTGGCCGATGAAGTTGGGCTTCTCGTAGACCACGAAGAGGCCGCTCTCCACCCTGCAGGAGTTGCACCTGCTCAGGTAGGAGGTCAGCTCCGGGCAGTCACTGCTGGTCTCGTAGGACCGGCCCTGGAAGTTCCTCTCCTCATAGAATATGATCTGCAGAAGGCAACAGAAACTGGACCTCAGGTTGCACAAACATGGAGTTTGTCTCATTTTTAATGTTGATACTTCTCTGCTGTTCAGAAAGCTTCACTTACCCTCCCCATGGTCATGATTCCTGTGAGCTAATCTCAGGTGTACAGCATCCACATCGACCCTTTTCCCTTTTTATACGTGGCACAGCCGTAGTATTTCCACATGGCTTGTGCTGAAAGCTTTGAGTCATCACTCTATATTCAGAGCAGCACTATAGACGTTCCTGTAGGCCAGAATGTGCCTCTGGTTATTGTCAATCGAATATTGGGTTTTATACTCGCTTCAGCAACGTCACCTATTTAATTCAACTGTTTCTTCCTACAAATAATTAAAGGGATCATGAATGTTACGATGGCATTGCCTCCATCTAAACTCTGAAGACGGGCGGCATTTTATGGTTTAACAATAAACACGATAAATAAACCATAAGATGAACATTTAGCTTCTATCGTGACCTCCATGAACTACAGTCACCATCCATAATAACTATTCAGGTGCACGTAAAAGAAGATCAGTCCAGGGCCACGTGAACCTGATGATGATTCATGATATTTGAAACAAAGGTGAGCCAGGTGCCCTGCAGCCGACGATTGGTATAAAAGCAACGTTGGTTGGGATCGTTTGGAAACAGGAACGCCGTCACCATGGGCAGGGTAATGCACGTTCCATGTGCTTCTGTAGAAGCACCCGAACGTGCACACGGCGAGCAGGAAATCACTTCTTTCTCTTGTTTTTGCCGCAGATCGTTTTCTACGAGGACAGGAACTTCCAGGGGCGCTCCTACGAGTGCAGCAGCGACTGCTCCGACATCCACATGCACCTGAATCGTTGCAACTCCTGCAGGATCGAGAGCGGGTGCTTCGTGGTGTACGACCGGCCCAACTTCATGGGGAACCAGGTGTTCTTGAGGAGAGGCGAGTACAACGACTTCCAGTACACCGGAGGCATGACAGGCATGATGGGCATGGCGATGATGGACACCGTCCGCTCCTGCCGTGCGATTCCAACGGTAGGACGTTTTAACTGGTTGACTGCTTGGTGAGAGCAAACCAGTGAGGCTGTGCGATCAAGTCTTTACTTCCTCCTGCAGCACCGGGGACAGTTCAGGATGAGGGTCTATGAGAGAGAGAACTTCGGAGGCCAGATGCACGAGCTCACGGAGGACTGCGAGTCCCTCCAGGAGCGGTTTTACATGTCCGACTGCCAGTCCTGCAACGTGACGGACGGCCACTGGCTGATGTTCGAGCAGCCCAACTTCAGAGGCCGGTTGACGTACGTGAGGCCAGGAGAGTACAGGAACCTCCGAGACATGGGGACGAGCAACGTCACGAGAATCAGCTCCATCAAGCGCATTATGGACGTGTGCTGAGGGCGACTCGTGCACGAGACGCCAAAGAACGAAAATAATAAAACAATCTCTTTGTGGAGTGGAATCGAGCTTGGTTTATTTCCTTTGAGCAAACATTAATGATCATAACCTAAACATTCAATAGTTTATTTTATGGGGGAGTGGTGGTGCAGAGGTTAGAGAAGGTGGATGTGGGTGGGAAAGGTGAAGCACCCACGCCTGCCTCACTCTGGGCCCTTGAGCAAGGCCCTCAACCTCCGGGCGCCCCAGACAGCAGCTCCCTGCTCCACACAGAGGGCTGTGGTAGCTCGGTGGTCTCTGGAAGGAAGGGCGGGCATCGGGCATAAAAACAAGCGCCAAGTCTTCGTGCGAGTGATTTTTCAGCAGTGACCCCTGAAGGAGGAGCAGCCGAAAGAAAAATTCAATAGTTTAATTTAAAATAAAGTGTTTATTATATAAAATGGACGCACGCAGGAGGACTTTTTAAAATGTTCAGATGTTCTCTGAATTAAACTAATGAAAACTAAGTGACCCAACCTGGTTACAAATATATCTGTGATCCTTCAGTAGTAAAAAAAACTAGTACTTCTAACGTGTCAGGATAAGACGGACGACGACATGTTGGAACACCTGGCTCAGGACTTGGAGGTGTTCGGTTTAACCAGTGGTGCACAATCTTGTGGACATGCTAACTAAAATTGTCAAGTTGAAAGTATCTTTACTTTGAACTTTTATTGAACCAACGCCTTGTATCTGTGACTTTCCTTCCCTCCATTGATTACAGTGACATTATTTACATGAACGCTCCTACAAGAACCCTGCAGATGTTGGATGCTGCAGATGTTGGATGCTGTCTATCAAGGTGCACTAACTGGCTGTAATTATCGTACCCACCACTGCACCCAGTATTCACTGGTTAACTGGTCACCATTAACTTCACACAGACCCTCTCACTGGTACATTTTCATCTATAAATCACTTCCTGGTCTGCTGCCTTCATACATCTCCTCCTACATGTCTCTGTGTGAGTGCAGCTACAGCGTGCGCTCTCAGGACATCATTACCTGCAGTGTTCCCTCAGTGAGGACTGAACTAGACAAAAGGACCTTCTCCTCTATCGTTGTCCAGACCTCATCTGTGTTCTTTGTTGACAACAGGTCTCTCTTGTGAACGAGTCCTTGAGGCTCGACGAGATCGTGTAGAAACAACGGTTGAACGAAAATAAAAAAAACTCGACTGGAAGGATTTGACTGAACGACTCGGGAAAATTTCACTTGACGAGCATTCACAACCGATTCAAGATGTCCGCCACAGCTGCTCATCGCTGGCAGACACGAAGATGGCGATAAGTCTGTCAGCTCAGGTATTGCGTTATTATTAGGTGTGGTAGTAGCTGAGAGTCGTCCTCATCACGTACTCCAAGCACTAACGGATCGCCTAAGGTCTTTGTTGAAAACGTTGGCATGCAAGATAGCAGGTGCTGCGCATTTCTTCAAGGAAAGCCACTTTTGAATTAAATGGACCGTTCTTGTATAACGTCTTGCTGCCTAATCAAGATAAAAGTTCTTTACAACTCGGTCTGTGCCTCATTTACCTCCAACACACTCATACAGTCCTCGACGCCATCTCTACAATCTGAACAACTCATCTGTAGATGCACCGATGGGACACGCATCAGAGGCAGTGAGGGGTTCAGTGCCCAGGGACACTTCAACATGTGACTGCTGGTGGAATCGAACCCCCAACTCTCCCACTGAAGGACGACTGCTCTAACCACTCAGACACAGCCGCCCCGTTAGTTAGAGTTACTACAGTAGCTGATGATCAACTAAATAAAGTGTAGTTTGAGACGATGAACGTCCCTGTATCCGTTGTCAACACGCTTGTTCGTTCAACCTTTATTTCTACACGTTAATCCCACTGAGCTCCTCGTCGCTGCGGACATCCAACTGTAGGTGCCGAGGGACGACATGAGACACGAGTCGTGTCCAATCTTATTTTTAAAAACACGCGATGGAGCGAGCCCACGAGAAACGAATCGAGAAGTAGCGAGGGACTACTGTATTCCTTAAAGTGACTCGTTCAATCAGATTGGGTCACAAATTTCCAATAGTTGTAAAGGACTTATAACGTTTGGCATCTGCTCAGAAATGGCTGCAAAGAAAGTAAACATGGAATTATCTCTGACACAATCAGTAATGATGCTGCAGAAAACCAATTAATGCTTTTACTAACGTTGGTACTTTCACTTTAACGCACTAATGTGTACTTATCTGTGGTGCGTATCCCATTACTTCTGTGTAACACTCTATACAGTCTGTGCAAACTGCATTGGAAATGTTTATCTAGAGCTTAGCGTAAAGAGAACATCACAACGTGCGTTATTTTAACGGAACAGAAGCCAAAACGAACCGACCGGAGACTTTCTGAACGAAACAAGCTGCTGACGTGAACTGAAGCTCGTTCTGTGAATTGTTAAAGTCAGCTGATGGCTGCCGTGCACACCGGCGCACGTCTGTGTGGTGGTGGTCGCAGCTAAACTTAAAATGCATCGAAGCAAAATTAAAATGTAGCTAATAAAATGGGGTGTTTAAGTGTAACTAGCACTTCTTCATTATATAATTTAAGCATAAAAAATTGAATGCTCTGCAAAACTAAACGTGTGGAAACTTGTAGTTGGTAAAAAAATAAAGTTAAAACATAAAATGATCTGTTGAGTGCCGTTTTTACAGCTCCTCTCATGACTTGAACCCATTCGGTGCACATTTGTTGTTTTTTTAAATATATTTACTGTAAATGAATGTGTTGCGTCATCAACTAAATGCCGCTCAAAGAAAACAGCTGAAACGCGCTGAAGGGCCGGGCGCCAACAAAAAGTGTTCTGTGTGAAACGGCTGACCAGCCCGGTCATTGTTGTGCTTCACAAAGATGCGGGTCAGCCGAGGGTTATAAAGGCGGCCTGGAGCCCACGCTGCAGCTACAGCACGACCACAGCCGGCTGCCACAATGGGAAAGGTACGGACTTTTGGGGATTATTAAATAGAAACTTTTAAAGAGGAGATTTTATTCTTTGGTGGTGCTGAGCTGCTGTGAACTTTAATGTCTTTAACGATGGATTTCTCTTTAGATCGTTTTCTACGAAGACAGAAACTTCCAGGGCCGAAACTACGAGTGCAGCAATGAATGTTCGGACCTGCACTCCCATTTCAACCGCTGCAACTCCATCCGAGTGGACAGCGGTGACTGGATGGTCTACGAGAGGCCCAACTACACGGGCTACCAGTACTTTCTAAGGAAGGGCGACTACCCGGACTACCAGCGCTGGATGGGATTCAACGACTGCGTCCGATCCTGCCGTATGATCCCCGTGGTAACGTTAGACCCTTTTCATTTGAGTTCCGCAGCTGATGACGGTAAATAAGTAACAATTCATTGCGTCTTCTCTGCAGCACCAAGGCTCTCACAGGATGACGATCTACGAGCGCACGGAGTTCGGAGGCCAGACGATGGAGCTGACCGACGACTGCCCCTCTCTGTACGAACGCTTCCACTTCAACGACGTTCACTCTTGCAAGGTCATGGACGGCCACTGGATCTTCTACGAGCACCCCCATTACAGGGGACGCCAGTACCTGATGCGTCCCGGTGAATACAGGAGGTTCCACGAGTGGGGAAGCACGAGTCCCAGGGTGGGATCAATCAAACGTGTCAGTATGTGAAAGCACGACCGTGCACATCTTGTTCATGTGAAATATTACCAATAAAGTCGATGAATGGAACAGGATACCATGGTCCCAACATCTGCTCTTCCCCCCTAAGAGTTTTAAACGTTTCTTTAGAGAAAAGTGTGTGTTACTTGTGTAAAAGTGATAAAAATAGCACCAGAGTAAAGAAACCTTTTTGGTTACCGTGACGATTGAGAACTTGAATCAAATACAGGATTAAGTCCACTTCTTTCAAAACACTTGGATACAGACACAAAGACAGGAGTTCAGCCAAGCAGGTTTATTAGAGACACAAAGTTCTTTTAGTTGAAGTCGGTGATTCGCCTGAGAGAGCCGATCCTTGGGCTGGCGCCACCCCAGTCACTGTATCGGCGGTATTCTCCGGGTCTCAGGTAGTAGGTTCTTCCCTTGAAGTTGGGCTGGTCGTACAGCAGCCAGTGGCCGTCGACCACGTTGCACGAGTTGATGTCAGACATCCGCAGGCGGTCCTGGACGTTGGGGCAGTCTTCACTGATCTCCTGCATTTGGCCAGCCATGTCCGCACGCTCATACAGTCGTATTTTGTAGGAACCACGATGCTGCAGAAAGCGTTTGAAATGAATATGACGCATGAAGGGCTCAACAAGGAACGAGTTACGAGACCATACGAACCTCCAGCTTCTCAAACTGCGCCGACTAAACTCTTATCTTCCAAATGTCTTATTTTCGGCTTACCGTGGGAATCATGCGGCAGGAGCGAATGCAGTCATTGATGCCAATCATGCGCTGGTTGTCCGAGTACTCGCCACGGCGCAGGAAGTACTGGTGGCCTAGGTAGTGGGGTCTGTCGTACACCATGAAACAGCCGCTCTCCACTCGGACGGAGTTGCAGCGGTTGAAGTAGGGGTGCAGGTCGGCACAGTCGCTCATGCACTCATGGTGCCGACCCTGGAAATTTCTGTCCTCGTAGAATATGATCTGCAAAAGGTTTGCCACAACTGAATCGCTGCCTTCTACAAGTTTGTCTTCAGTCCGTGTTGGTGGCGTGGCGTCTACTTACCTTTCCCATGGTGATGTGGTTGGAGGCCAGACTGACACTGAACGCTCGCCCCGCCGCCGTCCTTTTATACAAAGCAGCCGTGTGATGGCACAGCACAAAGTATTGTCCTCCACACGGGTGTCACGACACGAACCTGGCCATGTGAAGCGGTGCGCCGACTTTTTGTTTTCCACTTTTCACACGTTCATCACTATTGATTAAAACACAACCGTGCGCTCGTGACCCGAAGGCGATATTCACAATATCAGCAAAACCAAACAACGGCGGTAATTTAACTTCCTGAAACCACACACCTGAGCAGGAACAGGTGTCGTCACATCCCGAACACGTAGGCTCAGTCCACCCAGGACAAGTACGAACAGAATCACTGAGGTTTATGGCACGTTGTACGTCCGCCGACAAACGTCTATAGCAATGGCCTGGACAAGCACGGACATGGTTTAACCTTTGACCTTGATTTGCGACCTTGACCTTGGGACCGGGGCGATGAAAAGAACGTGCAACACTGTTGCTGTTGAACACGATCAAGTTTAATTTTATTGTTTCAGGAGACAAAAGAGCAAAATAAATAATTTGTCTTCAGACTGAACATTGACCAGGACACAGAAGACATCTGGACTTGGTCCAAGTCCAGAGTGCACCCCGCCTGCAGCTCCAACAACCCTGAACAGAAGCGTGTAGAAAACCGATGGAAGATCGATAACGTGTCAATAACTGATTCCTCGCTCTGCGCCCGACGAGGTTCTGATCACTTCCTGGATGAATCAAGAAACCACCTGAGCTCCACTGGAAACAACGCGTTTGTTTTGATGGAAACACGGAGACGACAGCTGCTGCTTCAAACCACCGTCTGGAACCACACCGGATACATCCATCCATCATCCATCCATCCATCACTCCATCATCCATCCATCCATCATCCATCCATCACTCCATCATCCATCCAACCATCACTCAATCATCCATCATCACTCCAATCTATCCATCATCCATCCATCATCCACACCATCTGTAACCACACTGTGGATACATCCATCCATCATCCATCCATCACTGCATCCATCACTCCATCATCCATCCATCACTGCATCCATCACTCCATCCATCACGGCATCCATCCATCACTCCATCCATCACCACCTCCATCTACATCCCTCCCCACCACCCTCCAATCTATCCATCACTCCATCCATCCATGCATGCATCCATCCATCCATCACCCATCTCACCCTCCCACCCGGCCTCCATCCATCCCTCCATCCATCCCGGCATCCATCCATCACTCCATCCATCACGGCATCCATCCATCACTCCATCATCACTCCAATCTATCCATCATCCACACCGTCTGTAACCACACTGTGGCTACATCCATCCATCACTGCATCCATCCATCCATCAACCACACCGGTCTGTAACCAACCTCACTATACATACATCCATCCATCATCCATCCATCACTGCATCCATCCCTCCATCATCCATCCATCACCGAAACCCCATCATCCATCCAACCATTTATCAACTATCATCCTTCCATCATCCATCCAACCATCCATTATACATTCAACCATCCATTATACATTCAACCATCCATCATACAATCCATTATCCATCCAACCATCCATTATCCATCCAACCATCATCCCTCCATCCATTATCCATCAACCATCATCCATCCGTTATCCATCCATCAACCATCAGCCCTCCATCATCCAACCATCCAACCATTTATCAACCATCATCCATTCAACCATTTATCAACCATCATCCATCCACATCATCCATCCTTGAACCATCCATTATCTATCCACATCATCCATCC